TTGCAGTATGTCAGTCAGTCAGTCAGTCAGTCAGTCAGTCAATCAGTCTTCTGCAGTCAGTCAGTCGGTCAGTTTCCCGCATTCAGTCAGTCAGTCAGTTATTCAGTCTGTCAGTCTGTCAGTCAGACAGTAAGTTACCTGTGGTATATCAGTCATTCAGTTATTCTTTCAGGCAGTCTGTCAGTCATTCATTCAGTCAGTCAGTCAGTCAATCAATCAGATGCAGTTAGTCAGATAGTACGTCAGCTGCAGTCAGTCAGTCAGTCAGATTGAATCACTTAGTCAGTCAGTCAGTCAGTCAGTCAGTGAGCTGCAGTCAGTCATGCAATTAGTCAGTCAGTCAGTCAGTAAGTCAATCAGTTATTTATTCTGTCCGTCAGTCAGTCAGCTGCAATCATTCAGTCGGACAGTCAGTCAGCCTCGCTCAGTCAGTCAATCAGTAAGCTTCAATCAGTCATTCAGTCTGTCTGTGTATCTGTCTGTCAGTCAGCTTCAGTGATTGAGTTATTGAATGAGTGTGTCTGTCAGTCAGTCAGTCAGTTACTCACCTGCAGTCCCTCACGTACGTGAAGTCAGTCAGTTTCAGTGTGTCAGCCAGTCAGTCAGTCGGTCGGCTGCAGTCACTCAGTCCGTCAATCAGCTGCAGTCAGTCAGTCAGTAAGTCAGCAGCAGTCAGTCAGTAAGTCAGCAGCAGTCAGTAAGTCAGCAGCAGTCAGTCAGTCCGTCAGCTGCATTCTGTCAGTCGGTCAGCTGCAGTCAGTCAGTCAGTCATCCAGTTGCAGTCAGTAAATCAGTCAGTCATATGCAGTCATGCAGTCAATCATGTGGTCAATTGGCTGCATGCAGTCAGTCAGGCAGAGAGATAGGCAAGCAGATAAGTTTTTAAGCACGCAAGAGTTCAATAGGTCAGGACTTTAGAAAGGTTTACTTTCGTGTGTTACGTTTCATCATCGTTTATTAACCAATGTTTGTATGTAGGTTCAATATTGTCAATTCCATAAGAGTTAGGGTAAAATTTGGTTTCATTCTGCAAATGAAAATTGCCCAAGTTTTTTCGTTTCTTGCTTTTCCCGTTTGAGATTTAAGTGCATTCCATTTGAATGACTTGTGTTTTCCCTGTCGGGGAGTACGAAGATAGAACAGGCTCATGCATGACAAACGGCCACGAATTTGTACAGTGCTTCGCCCCTTGAGCGAATCGGACAAATCTGTTCACTGTTTCGAGCTGCGCTCAGGAACTTGCGCAGTACTTGATTATGGTATGGGCACAAGTTGTTAGCACTCATCTCTAATCGGACTGGTTTCTGTGAGCCCTTTAGCACATATGACGGCTGAAAAATCGCGCACCAAACATTTAAGTGACAATTTATTTCTATTATGATGGAAAGTGTTAGCAAATGCTCATGTTTTTGTCCCCGTTATTACGCGATAATCATTTGCCTGTGTCTGATTTGAGATAGAAATTTCACTCATGTTTATTTCGTGTTGTGTATACCAGTGTATCACCGAATCGTGTGCCACGAGACGTTTTCCCAACGATTCCAGTCAAAGGACAACTGTAGACAATGCGTGTTTTTATTGCTAGCGGCAGAAAAAGTATGCAGAAAACAATGCTACATCTATAAGACTGCACCCAGTCCAGGTATTTCCTGGATGGGAATTACGACAGTGCCGATGGAGGAAATAAGCAAATGAAATGGATGAATTCTGTCCGTTACCCTGAAGCTCATGCATCTAGTAACATCAAGAAAACCAAAAGGTAAGGTCGCATGGGGTCACGTCTGGTCCCAATCCAGTTCAAATTGATACTAAGGGAATCTTCAGCGGGAAGTTAGGTTTTTCTCTGACAGTAATCGTGAGCAGTAGTATTGCAGTGTGAATGCCACGATATTTCGAAACCCCTATGAAGGATCTTGTTGTTAGTGGTGGTGGATATGATCAAG